CTCCCCCAACATTTTTCCAGGGGAAAAACCGCTCCCTCTGACCCCCCCCCCCCCCCAATGTGTCGCCGCCACTGGGTGTGAGATTTAACATCATGATGTCCGTGTCGCTAAGTGTATGGGGCTTACGCGCGGAGGGATTGGACACGATTCCAGGAAGAATTATATCATCGCTAACACTTCGTCCTCCCGTTGTATCCGGATACCCTGCTGTCGAGAATACCATGGTCGGTACATGCAGATACCCTTATAGGGGATGTGTCCGGGGGATGTGTCCGGGGGATGTGTCCGAGGGATGTGTCCGAGGGATGTGTCCGGGGGATGTGTCCGGGGGATGTGTCCGGGGGATGTGTCCGAGGGATGTGTCTGGGGGATGTGTCCTGGGGATGTGTCCGGGGGATGTGTCCGGGGGATGTGTCCGGGGGATGTGTCCGGGGGATGTGTCTGGGGGATGTGTCCGAGGGATGTGTCCGGGGGATGTGTCCGGGGGATGTGTTCGGGGGATGTGTCCGGGGGATGTGTCCGAGGGATGTGTCCGGGGATGTGTCCGGGGGATGTGCTATTTGCTGGTTACTGTTGTGTAGGTTAGTGGAGTAAATAACATAGTACGGTGAACATTACAAATCGATGTTTTCTGACGAGCAATGTCATTCAAAGGTCAATGCCCTGTGCCCGACGTTAGAGGTCGTTCAAAGGCGATACGTGGTAATCTAGGAGAGGTGTCATATAGCAACTATAGATATAAGTGACGCCACTAAAGACAAACCAAATGAGAATATAGTTATCGTCAACTTTATACATTCCAAAGTAGACACGGGAACGTTGAACCTCTAGACCATGTATCCTCTCCAACTGCATATTCACAGTTCTGGTCGCTCATCAAAAAGAGGTATCAGGGTCCGACCACCACATAATTTGAAAAATTGACATTCTTGGTTTGAACAGAATACACTCTTGAAGGGTGGTAGTCGTCGCGCCGCGCATGCGCGAGATATGGGTCTCATATAAACAAAGATGGCGATTATGACTGTTGCGCACACCAACTAATAAAACAAAGAGGTTACCAAGCTTTAGATTTGTTGGTGATTAGTGTAAGTGGCGCCCAGAGCAAGACTCGTACTAATTTCATGTACTCGTACTGATTTGGAATATAGGAAAATCAATGTTTATCAACACAAATGTCACACATGCGCGGCGCGACGACTACCGCCCTTTAAGTTATACTATACAGGACGGGATCGAACCTCCAACCTCCGCTGATGATGCTAACACTCACCAAACCCGGAGCTTTGTTTACATTCGTGACAGCACCCTTCCTATATCTATTAACTGGGGGGTCAGTTACTTGGTCATTATGGTATTAATTATTCTAAGACAGTAATCCCACGCACATATACAAGTAGATTTGTATAATGAGTCACAAGTGCACAATGCTAACACAGAGAATAATAACCCCCTCGAATAAAGGATTCATATATTTAGTTCAGGTTAAATTATTTTTATTTTTAGGCCAATGAAATGTCAAGGTTTTGGAAGTTGTCGGTGTTTGTAATACTAGTATAACCTGCATGTGATTTGTGTCTATCAAATGTTCAATCGCTGCCATTGCCTTCCATCGTTGATATATCGCCTTCAGTCGCTGCTTTTGCCCCCAATCGCTAATATTGCCCTCAATCGCTGCTACTGCCTTCAATTGCTGTTATTGAAAAAAACAAATTGACTGGGTAGTTGCAATCCCGTGTTGTATGTTGTACAGGCAACCTTTAACTGCCTCGTGTACGCACCGTAAGGTTATGGGAATTCTTGTAAAATAGAGTCCTGAAATTGAATTCAGAAATATCTTCTAAAATAAAGGCAGCCATACAATCATCAAAATGCACACATGCAAGTAGTCTTGAGTGGATACAACCACGAAAATTATGTCTTATTTAATGATTATATATCACGATTTTAACTGCAAGCTAATATCAGTGCTCGAGTGCTTCAGGATTTGTTGCCATAGCAACTCATTTTTCATGGTGATTACAATAATCAGTGGGAGGTGTTCTCATATGATACAAAGGGGAGATGTAACTTTACATGTTTTACTTTACGTATCGTTTCTGTCGACTATGTCAACCTACTGTATCGTTTCATACCAGTATGATGTAATTTATATATAATGTTAAAATTTAATCCGTGAATATTTGCTATTGTCCCTGTTATAAAAAATACAAATCAATGAAATTAGAGCTTGGTGTGCGATGCATCGTCTGTGGCTGAAAACCAACTTCCAAGCATTCGGTAGAGGGCGCAGTGATAATTGTTAGTCTGGTCCCCTGCCCCAATTTCAACGCTGAGCGTTGAAATTGGGGCAGGGGACTTAACCGCCCTCAGCGTTGAAATTGGGGCAGGGGACCAGACTATGATAATTGTCAGCTCTTTGAGTACAAATTCCTTGACAAAAGGAAAGAAACAAACAGATTTTGAACAATAATCTTTCAAATGTTACAACCACATTCAGCTTAGAATAGGTACCGTGACGATGCGAGGACAATGACCTCACTATTAACATATTTGACTTTAACTAATAGCCATAATTTTGACAATATTTTACATGCAGTTGTTTGAATATTATCGTGGATTACAATCTGCAGCCTCAGAAAGTGAGATCGGTTTCTGTTAGAAGATGGGTGAATCGGCGCTGGCATATGCTAAGTACTATAATAAAGTCTAAATGGGTCATTAAATAAACTAACTTAGGTATAACGGTGTAGTCGAACCGTCCTTTCTTTAACCATCCATCACTTCATGTACTTTATGGGGAGATTTAATTACTTTAGGAGATTCTGGGTGGATTACTTTATTGACAAATTAGTACCAGAACATGATTAGATTGCCATGTCGCTTTGCTGGGAGGTGTTGATGTTAGGAATGCATTACTTGAATTTTGTGACCGAGTTACCGTGACTGGAATGGTCATCGGTGAGGGCCGTCTACACTGTCTGTGCCTGTAACGAAACAAGCACACAGTTTACAGACGCATTATAATTGCAGATTGTCGTTTTCATATTTCATCGAGTTTTAGCTAATATTTCACAGTTAAAAGTTTAAAAGCGCCAGAATCGTTGTGCCCAGTATTCGATATAGGGCCCATGCTCCGTATACAACGCGTGTAAATTGTACGTTGTTTGTTCACACGTGATTAGGATGCGCGCTGCGGAACGATTTTAACGCTTGAAGGCGCCCAATTTTTTGCAATACAGTAGTGTTTTTGGAATAGTTTCGGAACACAGCTTCAATATTAAACACTCTTTTCCATATTTGACTTATTTCAGTAACCCGGTAATTATCACACAATCCTGTACTAACATATGAGTAAAAAATAAAAAACTTTCGTTTGAAAAACTTAATGTATTATTTTTTCTCTGTGTTTGAATACTGGGAGCCCATATTACGATCCCCGTGGTGTATTATTCTAAGGTCAATTGCCCTTGACACGGCGACGGTATATTCCGCGCAATCTCGTTATTTCGACACTAATAACGCCCCGAGAATGTAAAATTATTTTTAGATATATCGGTTAAACGATTTGTACTTTGTCAGCAGTCAGCCCCAGGACAGAGACAACAGTGCATTATTACTCTTCGTGGCCTGCCAATTAACCCCGTTCATTCCAGCTGTCGAAATACTCGTAAATTGATTATGTAATTAGCGATGACTGCAGGTAAATTTACGCTACAACATGCGGTGAGTGTGTATGTATAATTCCGACCATGCTCGTGTATGTGTATTCAAGGTCTCACACCACCATTAAGGATGCTGTCGATTTCTTCATGGCAATACATAGGTTTTAATTCAAATAAGTTATAAATTATGTTAATTAAATATTTTGGAAATATAACCGAATCAGAGTGATCTAAAATACTCAATCCTTAAATAGTATTGTTAGAACAGGAAATGATTGGTAATAATTGGCATATTTAGGGAACGATATCATCCATTTCGGCTTGTTCAGATTAAACCCGATGTTGTACCTCTTTCTATCGCTATTTCAGATTCCTAAAACTTGACACCTTTAGATAAATTCTTTAATTTAGTTGTTATTACCAATAGTTGATAAATACAGAGACAGTCACAAATACGTATTTCTGGAAAATAGGTTAGAATTAGTGGTTCAAATTGTTAAGATATTCGAACAAATTCAAAGAACATTTGATTTGAATATTAAAATTTTGATGACATAATTGATTATTTAAATGAACATGAAATCGTTTTTGTTTTAACGTTAAGTAAAAAGACTGACGTTATTATGCAAGTAACTAAATATATTCTAGTAATATGTTGATTATTTAAAAAACGTGCAGACATGCAAATTTATTATTGTGTTCTGACATTTCTATAAAATAATCAGATATAAATACGGACTCTAAATTTGATCAATGTTCATGACAAAATATCCCCTTTAACCAAACAAAAACTAAATGTATTGAAACGTACATATTTACACTCACTGCTCACTCAGGTTATATGATGCTGACTTTGACAGATTATGGATTCAAATTATACTTAATGAATCAAA